AAGAAGAGGGTGATGATCCCAGATGCAACAGCTCCCATGATGCCGGCTTTCCTCAAGATGTCTCAAGAGATAATGCTGATTCTGACAGTGATTACGGACCATCAGCCTCTGAGTGCAGCACCAGCAAAGAAGGTGATGATGAAGACATCACCAGGAACCATGATTGGCTCATGAACATTGACACCTCTACTACTAGTATTCACAAAAAATATGTTGTGGATGTAAAATGAAATAAATGTACCAAGTACAGTTATTGTCTGTACTGTAATACACAGCAACGAAAACTTTCACGCCACTGTAAAAGACAGCATTCCAATGAGACCCTTATTGCTGAGGCCATGGCCATTCCAAAAGAGGAAGGTAAGAAAATTCGTCAAATGTGGCTACATATTCGGAACTTGGGAAACCATGAACATAACATTTCGGTACATCGAGACGAAGCTCACGATTTAATTGTTCGCAAGAGGCCGACTGACAGCAAAACATCTAATCATACAGTCGATGACTACATTCCATGTAGCGACTGTTATGGGTATTTTCATCGGAAGTCCTTGTGGATACACAAACGCACATGCCCCTTCAACCGTAAGAGCAATTATTCAAAATGCAGTCATGTAAGAGAAGGTAGAATGCTAATACCAACAAAATTTAACATTTCCCTTAATCTGAAAAAAGTGCTTCAGGGCATGAACCAGGACAAGGTGTCTCTTATTGTCAAAAACGACTGTGACATTTTGAAAGTTGGAAGAAATGTTTTGAGCAAGACTAATTCTAGCCGAAAATGTGACAAGACCAGAGAGAAGATGAGGACATCAGGTATAAAGTGCTTGATATTGCTAGAGGAATTGAATCTAACATTCAGCAAGCAAGAGATCTAGTAAAGCCATCATCATTTGATGTTGCTGTCGAATGTGCACTGATCTTATCAGGCTACGATGACGAACATCAATCCTACCATGCCTACTCTACTGCACTGAGAGTCGGTTTTGCATATATAGAGCTGGCTTCAGTGATTAAGAATGATCACATCAAGGAACAAAGTCGTGTAAAGATTGTGGAAGTGGACGAATTTTTGCATCTGATGAAGACAGAGTGGAAAGTGCATGTCACAGCAGCTGCACATCGGCAACGTCAGGAGATAGCCTGAAAATCGCCAAAACTCCTTCCACTGACAGAGGACTGCATGAAGGTAAATGCCTTCCTCAAAAAAAGTGAAGTGAGTGTCAAAGATTTGATTAGACAAAGGGGAATGACAACAGAAACATATAAAGAGCTAGCAAAAGTAGCACTCACACGGGTAATCATGTATAATCGTAGGAGACCCAAGGAGGTAGAGCTCTTAACAGTAAAGCATTACATGGAGAGAGTGACAAACAAAAGGGAAGAGCATGATGAGATCTTGTCATCTCTAACACCACCAGAGAAAGTGGCGTTAAATAGACTGTCACTTGTAATGGTGCGTGGAAAACGAGGCAGAGGGGTGCCAATTTTACTTACCCCAGAATTAAAAGAAAGTTTAGATATGTTGGCGAATTTCAACAAAGAAAAAGAATTTGTCTTTTCTCGAGTTGCTGAAGGAGCCTCTACACCGATGAGAGCCTATCGAATTGTGGCTGAAATGGCTTCAGTTGCATCACCAAAACTGAAATATCCTGAGAATATTAGATGTACCAAACTGAGAAAACATCTTGCTACCCTTTCGCAGTTACTTGACCTGTAAAAGAATGAGCTTGAACAACTCGCAAATCACATGGGGCATGATGTGACAACACACCGCGAATATTATCGTCTGCCAAATGAAACTGTCCTCCTGGCAAAAATGAGTAAGCTCCTGAACCTAGCACATAATGGAAAGACCGCAGAATTTAAGGGGAAATCGCTTCAGGATGTGACCCTTGAAGTAGATGAATCACTTCCGGAAGATTATTATGAGGACGATGAAGGTGGAGATGATTATGGAGATGATTATGATGAAGGTGGAGATGATTATGATACCAACCATGCAGATACAAGTTTGTCAGTGTCTAATACTGAGAAGAAAAAAAGTCAGTCAAATCAAAATTGTCCAGCTCAATCAGTCAGGAATGGCAAACGGTATAGACGATGGAATGGGGATCAAGAGAAATTCCTGCTTGCCCAAAAGGAAGTGCAGATTCTTTTGAAGTCCAAGAAGGTTCCAGGGAAGAGGCTGTGCCTGCTACTTTTGAAGAGAAGCAACGGTCTGCTGGAGGGAATATTGTGGAAGGACATAAAATACAAAATACACAACATGAACAACAAGACTAAAGAGAAACTTTCCAGGCAAGAACTGAAAGTGAAAACAAATTGATGTGGTGCCATCTGTTTATAAGCCTACCGAATTTTTCGATTTTTTGCAAAACGACATGCAAACTTCAATTTCCTATCATTACGTCCTGTCCTTAATGTATTTTGTGAGAGACATACATGTAATGCCTTAAGTTGGTTTTGCAACACTTTTTGAAGCTTTGAACAGTTTTTTTCTCTCAGTTTTTTCTGCCATCTGCTCATATTTGTGTTAACACTAACTTCATAGTGTATGTGGAAAATCATTGAAATTGGGGAATCATGATCAGTAGGGGTAAATATTTCGGGTTTTTTTTTTTTTTGTATTCAGCCGCATGCCCATAGCATTTGTACCCAATTTGGGCACTGAATTAGTGCAAAACCCTTCATACTTGCCACATACTTAGACCAGCATGTGCAGTTGTGCCATGAACATTCAATATTACTGATGTCTGAAATACTTTTGTTAGCGTTAAATTGTCTGAAACGTGAACAGTAGACTAACTGTTTCACGTTTCAAATATTTTGATACTTTTAAGTTCACGTTTCAAATATTTTATACTTTTAAGAGTGTTTCAGACATTCCTGGTTCATAGTATGACAGCCAAAATATTAATTGCATACTAGACCTATTTTACATATGTAGTACTTAAGTCTACTCTATGTATAACTAAGTCGCTAGGACTTAGCAGTTTAAGTTGTTATAACAAAAATTTTAAAATTTTGTACTGATAGTCAGGGTCCCAAGTGCCAAGTTATTTTTTCCATATGCAGTACAAAGTACAAATCTATGGGAATGCTTCAGTTAAGGAGCAAAGGAAGAATTCTGCTGATATTCCATGAGTGGAAATATATGTACAGTGTTTATATAAATCAGTGGTTTTGGTACAATCAAAAGTTTACAGGAAATATGCACATGTCTGAAATATTATTTTTGGTGTTAAAATGTTAAAAACATTAACAGTAGACTTATTATTTCACGTTTTAGATATTTTGAGACTAATAAAAGTGTTTCAGACATCCCTGGTTCATAGTATGACAGCAACATTTATTAATACTAGGCCTATTACTTACAGTCGAGTCTAATTATTGTATAATGAATATTAACAGGCATTGGTGTGGTGTTGTCTGTTTATACTGAATTTTTCGCTAGTCATAGCGATACTGTTAAGTCCACGTTTCAGATATTTTGATACTCTTAATTTCCCGTTTCAAATATTTGATACTTTTAAGAGTGTTTCAGACATTCCTGGTTCATAGTATGACAGCCAAAACAGTAATTGCATACTAGACCAATTTTACATATGTAGTACTTACAATCAACTCTAATTATTGTATAACCAAGTCGCTAGGACTTGGCAGATTAAGTTGTTATAACAAAGGAACTGAAAGTGAAAACAAATTGTTGTGGTGCCATCTGTTTATAAGCCTACTGAATTTTTCGATATTTTGCAAAAAAACATGCAAACTGCAATTTCCTACCATTACGTCCTGTCCATAATGTATTTTGTAAGAGACATACATGTATGTTGCCTTAGTTGGTTTTGCAACACTTTTTGGAGGTTTGAACAGTTTTTTTCTTTCTACCTCAGTTTTTTTGCCATCTGCTCATATTTGTGTTAACCACATGTGGAAAATCATTGAAATTGGGGAATCATGATCAGTAGGGGTAAAGTGTTTATATAAATTAATGGTTTACGTTTTAGATATTTTGAGACTAATAAAAGTGTTTCAGACATTCCTGGTTTCATAGCATGACAGCCAAAACATTTATTAATACTAGGCCTATTACTTACAGTCAAGTCTAATTATTGTATAATGAATATTAACAGGCGTTGATGTGGTGTTGTCTGTTTATACTCAATTTTTCGATAGTCATAGCGATACTGTCCACGTTTCTGATATTTTGATACTTTTAATTTCTCTTTTCAGATATTTTGATACTTTTAAGTTTATGTTTCAAATATTTGATACTTTTAAGAGTGTTTCAGACATTCCTGGTTCATAGTATGACAGCCAAAACATTGATTATATACTAGGCCTACCTTACATATGTAGTACTTACAATCAACTCTAATTATTGTATAACCAAGTTGTTATAACAAAGGAACTGAAAGTGAAAAAAAAGTGATGTGTGCCATCTGTTTATAAGCTTACTGACTTTTTCGATTTTTTGCAAAAAGACATGCAAACTGCAATTTCCTACCATTATGTCCTGTCCATAATGTATTTTCAGAAAGACATACATGTATATTGCCTTGTTGGTTTTGCAACACTTTTTGGAGATTTGAACAGTTTTTCTCTTTCTACCTCAGTTTTTTTGCCATCTGCTCATATTTGTGTTAACCACATGTGGAAAATCATTGAAATTGGGGAATCATGATAAATATTTCGGGGTAAATATTTCGGGGTTTTTTTTTTTTCATTTTCAGCCCCGTGCCCATAGCATTTGTACCCATTTTGGGCAATAAATTAGTGCAAATGCCTTCATACTTGGCACATACTTCGACCAGCATGTGCAGTTGTGTCATAAACATTCAATATTACTACAGTAACACTATGAACCAGGAATGTCTGAAATACTTTTGTTAGTGTTAAAATATCTGACACGTGAAAAGTAGACAATATTGATTCATGTTTCAGACATTCGTGGTTCATAGTATGACAGCCAAAGCAAGGCGAACGTCATAACCATTAGACCACAGAGGCTTCATGGTTGAACAGATTCAAATAACCGCCAGATACTCTATTATACAATAGTACGGCTGAGGGTAAAAGACATATAAATCAAGAATAGCCGTTAACACTGTTAAATTATATAAAAATCATGATTATGATTTACAAGGCAAACGTCATAACCATTAGACCACAGAGGCTTCATGGTTGAACAGATTCAAATAACCGCCAGATACACTCTAATACACAATAGTACGGCTGAGGGTAAATAATAACACATATAAATCAACCAGATTTTAGACTAAATTTGTCTACATTTTCTGCTTTTATTAATGTTAATTGGTTTAACACTACTGATCAACCAAACAGTTAACTAGTATTCTCTTACATTACCACAGAGCAAGGAAGAGAAATCCATTCGTGCAGACAGATTGATTTGTATGTATTTTGAATGCATCAAACAGACACAGAGTGGTCCAATATGATTTCCTATTAATATTGATATTAAATGTCATCTACCACAGCAAAGGTACCCCAAATATCCCCAACGGAGCATCCTGTTCCCTTTCTAGCACTACTATTGGCCCACAATCTGCACTTCATTGAGAAGGCAAATCATTAGAACTGATAAATTCAAACTGACTGCACCATCATAAACATGAGTCAAGTACTTATAGCTGTTGAAAGTCCTATATTCAATACAAAGAGTAATACAGAAAAATGTACTACTGTGCGCATATGTTTTAATTTTCTGTAAGGCACATGTATTTAGGATTTTTTGAAAATATAACCAACATACCATGATATGAAAAAAGAAAACAAAATTAAACACCTCTATCTTTTTTCCTTCTGCACACAGGAAATGATAGGAGATCCTGGGCCTCTAGAATCAGATATTGAATGTTCAAGCGAAAATGACAGATATTCTGATCATGTTTCTGAGCCAGATTTTGGTGCAAAACAAGTGAACATGGTAAACAATCTTTAAACTGCTTTTTGAGAAATTTTGATAATAAAACTATAATAAAATCAATTCAAACAAATTTTATATTAATATATATTTGAGCTGAATCTCAGGCTGAATGTAATGCCTTTTGAGAATAACATCCAGCCAAATGCTGTAAAACTGTCGGTATATGTTTTACTTTTATAACAGACACATATGTATGTAGAATTTAACAAAATTAATAAAACATCCCACCTTTCTTCCTCCTGTAAACAGGATGTGTTAGAGGATCCTAGGCATCTAGAATTAGATACCGTGGAATGTTCAAGTAATGACTTCAAAAGCTCTGATCATGTTCCTGAGTCGGACAATGTTTGCACAAAACAAGTGAACATGGTAAACAATCTTTGAACTGCTTTTTGATATATTTTGATAGTGTAATTTACAAACAATATAAAATCAGTGAGTTTAATACAATGAAATTCAGACAGTACATTCATTCAGTTTTAAGACAGTATCTGTCTTAAAACAAAAATAACATCTTCCACAATAAGGATACCAAGCATCCCCAACAGAGTGTCCATTCCCTTTCTAGAAAACTGACATTGACCCACAATCTGCACCTCATTGAGAAGGCAAAGCGTTAGCGCTGATAAGTTCATACTGTACAACTTAAATCAAATAGAGTCAGGTACTTATATCTGCTATTAAAGTCCTTGCTACATACAATACACAGAGTGTACAGACAAATGTAGTGCTGTAGGCATATGTTTAATTTTCTAACAGAACAAATTAAAAAACAAGTATAACATATACTGAATCTTGATATGAAAAAAAGTAAACAAAACACTTTTTCCTTCTGTACACAGGAAGTGTTAGGAGATTCAGATTCTTTTTCAAGCGAAGATGACAGCGACTCTGATTATGCTGTTTCTCAATGTGGTATCGATTTAGCTGATGTGCCCAACACAAACGTTTCAACATCAGAAGGGAGGGAACAATTTTCCAGCCAATCTATAACGATATTAACAACATCGAATAAAGAAAAACGTGTGTGGGATAAACCGCAATATTGTCTCTATTGTAATTTACCACAAATGAAACTACCACGCCATCTCAAATCTCAACACTATGATGAAACAAGAGTTCAGAAATGGAATGCGACTAAATGTAAAAAAGAAAAGGCAAGACAAATGACTTATCTAAGGAACTATGGTAACTTCTTACACAACTCTAAGGTACTTAAGGAGGGAAATGGTGTATTACTTGTGATTTACAGGCCATCACACTAAGTCAACCCAAATGAATTCCTTCCATGTAAGGATTGCTATGGGTTTTTTAGCAAAAATGATCTATGGAAGCATAAATGTAGTCAGAGGGAGGAAAAAAATACAGGCAAAGATACATTAAAAAGGAAGAGAAGAAATCAGCATTGTAAGCCAAGTCGGTTGATGCTACCGAGTATTCCAGGTGTGTCTCAAAGAACAAATGATATTCTCATGAAGATGACTAGTGACCATGTTTCGCGTCTTGTAAAAACCGACAGTTTAATAAAAACATTTGTTGAAAAACTTACCATGAAGCATGGACATTCTAGGGACCAAGAGAGCTACATTAGACAAAGGACAAGGGAGATTGGTAGAATGGTTCTTGAATATAGATTATTGACCAATGAAAAGAATGCTATGCTAGCTGGCCTAATTTGCCCATCAAAATTTATTGATGTGACACGTGCAACTAAGCGTGCAGCTGGATTTAATGAAGACACCAACTTGTATAATACTCCAAGCCTTGCCTTGAAGATAGGGCATAGTATCAAAGACTGTACTGAAATTCTAAGAGGCGAGGCTCTGATGTCAGGTGATGAGTTTTTGGAGAAGAAGTGCACGTCATTCTTATCCTTATACTCCTTGCACTGGGCCGACAAAGTGAGTCACCATGCTCTTCGCAGTCTTCATGAAAGCAGAAGAAACAACCCCAAACTCCTCCCCCTAACAGATGATGTTGTTAAACTTTCTAGGCATCTGAAGGAGGAAATTCAAGTCAGGCAACATGGGCTGCAGAAAGCAAAAGGTCACAATGTAAAAAGAGCTTGGAAATTGTTTGCAGAAGCATTGCTCACTCAAGTTGTAGTTTTCAACAGAAAACGGCCAGGTGAGGTCTCAAAGATGACACTGTCCGATCTAATGAAATGTTCAAGTGGTGAAGAGAACATACTTGATGGAGCATTGTCTGAATGGGAAAAGGCATTATGTAGAGTACTTTGGAGAGTTGAGATAATTGGAAAGCGGTCGAGAACTGTTCCTGTTCTACTGACGTCAGAAATGAAATATGCTATGGAATTCTTAACATCAAAGCGACTGGCAGCTGGTATTACAGATAGCAACAAATATGTTTTTGCTCTGTCAGGAGAAGGCCACTTAAGAGCCTGTGATGCTATTCGCGAAATTTCAACTCAGTGTGGAGCAAAGCATCCTGAGTATCTGCGAGCAACGCGCCTAAGAAAACAGATCGCTACAGTATCCCAAATCATGAACCTAAAAGAAAATGAATTGGATATTCTCGCTAATTTCTTGGGCCATGATATTCGCACACATAGACAATACTACAGGCTTCCTAATTCAACATTGCAGCTAGCCAAAGTTTCTAAATTACTCTTGAAAATGGAAAATGGTGACATAAAGGGACTTTCTGGTAAAAGTTTTGAAGACATAGAAGTTGATCCTAATGAAGGTATGTTGATTTAGTTATTACAACAGAAACAATATTGTAAACTCAAATGTGTTTTTTCACATACTGAACACTCCGGCAAAACATATTTTAGAAGTATGTACATTACAAAATCCAATATGTCTGTCAGTCATACTTTCATAATGAGTTAATATGAGGCTTGCCATCCCAAAACCAGCATCAGTGACTAAAAAATGAAAATTGACTTTTCATTATACTCTTATTCTGCATATTATAAAATTTAAAACTATGGTTTATTTACTTAAATTGATAAACTATTGCCAAAGTTATGAAAGTATTATGGCATTTTGTACTTCAGTAAACAGCACTGACACATTCTATGTCAATTACTCAGTTTAACAAGTAGCGACTGTATGCTGGTTTTTGAATGGCAAGCCTCATAGTGTGTTATATTTGCTAATTTATCTCTATTTTCATCAAAACTGTTTAATTTTTTCTTCTATTTTAGATTTTAACAATGCAGAAGATTCATATTCTGAAGATGATTGCATTGTTGAAGAAGGTAAGATCAATGTAATTGGAGGTGTTTAGTACAATGTGTGTAGCTTCATTCATTTTATTTATAACAACAATAATAATAACCAATATTTATACAGCGCCTAATACTTACAACCTCGAGGCGATTAACAACAACATAATAATAAAAGTAAAAGAAAAAAAAATTGCAGCGATACAAGAGGTGGTGACAGCATATTTATACAGGATACGTATTCAATGAAAGCAATAAACATTCACAATAACTAAACTAAAAATGTATACTAAACACTGATCTACCATATGGTCCTGTTTCAGAAAATTAACTACTACTGTATATAGTTACTCTTCTTTATAGATATGATATATACATTTTTTAATATGACACAAAAAATAAGACAATATAAATTGTAAACTTATGAATGTAAAATACAAATAATTGACAGTTTAAAATATAAAAGCAATAAGATAAAAAGAATATAAAATAACATACAGTAAAATTTGTAAATAGTTAAAAAATAAAATAATGTCTGTTTATATTGTAATGACTAGTTAAATTGTTTTATTAAGACAAAATAATGTACTATAAAATATAAGAAAAATTCATATAGATTACAGTTCAATTTTAGAAAATCATTAAGATATTTTACACCAATATATACTATTATAATTTTTTTTAAATATTTAATTGGTATGATAAAAGATCAATTCAAGTACCAGTAGTGATCAATCAGTGTGAATAATATATGTGTATAGTAATAGTGACAATAAACACAATTATATGCCTTTTAATATCGGGTGTCTAGAAAACTCAGACATCAGATCTCAGATCTCTGATCTGAGTTTTCTAGTTTAAAGATCTGAGGTTTCTAGTTCTAGAAAACTCAGATATCTGAGTTTTCTAGAACTAGAAAACTCAGATCAGAGATCTGAGTCTGAGTTTTCTAGACACCCTTTTAATATCAGCTATTAGGTTTGTGTAGTTATGAACATCTTCATCATTTGCAGCTTGTCCAATGCACAACTGCAAGGATTATTCCTTTACTAAGAAACATGAACATATCACCCATGTTCTCAGAAATCTACACACGCTTAAGATCAGATTCAACTCAAATCTTCAACATGACATGGCGTTGTAGATCCTCTAGTATGCAGTTTCTAGAACAAAGTAATAGGAAACATAAACATTTTTGAAAAACGATCGTTTTCATTATGGAATTCCTTACCCACTGATATCCGTTCATCTCCAAGTGTTTTCATTTTCAAGAAAAGTTTGAAGGCTTACCTTTTCTCTATCTCTCATTAAGTTTTTGACACAAATAAAGTTATGTAAATAGTTTTTCTTATAATTTTATAAGTTTTAAATGGTATGTGTATTATGCCAATGTTATAGTGCAACTGAACATTGCATTCTGCCGTGGATATTGGCGCCCTATAAATTAATATTGATGGATTGATTGAATAATATGCAATAATCAAAGAGGACATGGTTCCAAAAAGAGATTTCAGGTGAAGAAAGTCTGGACAAAAGAGGAAAAACAGGCTGTTGCAGCTCACCTAGGATCATCACTGCGCACACGGTCTCTACCAGGTAAAGCTGTTATTATGGAGCTTCTTAAAAAGGAGCCAGAGGTTTTCCATGAGAGGTCATGGCAGAACATTAAGGATTTTGTCCGCAATCAAATAAGAAAAAATGATCCCATGAGCTTTCTTAAAAAATAACTAAGACGAGCCTGTGCTAGTGCTTCAAACTTTACATGTAAGTTCAATAACTTTAAATATACAACCTGAGGTAACACTCTCAGTAACATTCATTTTCATTTATTTATTTGGAAAAATATAGTCTAGGTGTTGCATTAGCAACAAAGCTCCATAGCAAATGTGTCACCCACCCTTGTACACAGATTTGAAATAAAATGCATCATTATTGAATCATATGTTTTTTCAACTACAAACATAAAAAATGTAAATGTGAATCTAGTAGAAGCAAATTAATAATTAAACTTCCAAACCAAATTACCCAAAGTCCAGGGTTTGCCTGATGTTGTTACAGAGACAAATACACAAACATACATATACAAACAGAAAATTTAACCCTCATAGGCAAAAAGTGGTTTACATATGTATGTATATATATGTATGAATACAGTTTATCACAAAGACTATATTCCATTATGTATATATAATTTTTTAATTTGTTCTTTCAAAAAGTACATTAACATTTTAAACATCCATGGAAGCCAAAAGCTGAATTGATGATTTTATTTACAATTAATTAATTAAGTTTTTCAGAAATATGGCATATAACATATACAAAAATACTATTAACATTAACAAAATCATTAATATAAGAATTATTACATCATACATTAGGATTATAAAATGTGTAAACAATAAAAACTTTCAAAATCAAGAACTGTAAATTCAAATAAAAATTAATAGTATGATGAAAGCACCAAACAAATGGCTCCTCTCAAGGAAAAACCTGGGACATTCTCAGTGACTCAAAGGAAAATGGCAAGAGATAACAAATGATTTGAGTATTTTCCATTTTTTTTATTTATCTGTTTGGTTATGACTCAAGAAGAATATTTTTTTAAATCTGAAAGTACAGTAGAAGTCTGAAATATTCTGATCTCTTCTCATTTCATAATTTGCTTTACTCTGGGTGGAATTAATTTGGTGGAACAAGTGGGAAAGTCGTATAAAATAGACTGGCTTTAATTTGTTCCAAACTTACAGCATTATGGGTTCAAGCGATCACTGTGACACTACAATCTAAAGAGCCTTAGGTCTTGTATTGCTTCACCAAGTGCTGAGCAGCACACTCTCCTCTACACTTTCTCGTGATGACTCACCCGTATTTTGGCGAGCCCTCCATTCCAATATTGAAGGGCTTGTCTAATATAACGCTGAGATCTGCTTGTTTCAATTTACGTAGCATTAATTAAGCATTTTCTTGTTTGACCAAGTTTGATTCAATAATGATTCCCAGTCATTTTACTTTGATAACAAAGAGCAACATGTTATCAGTTGTATGTTGACGTATCTACTGTTTTCCATTCTGAACAAGAGATTATATTTGACTCTTTACTTTGAGTTGATAGGAAGTCCATAATCCAATTGCATGATTGATTGGCAAACATTCATATTAGGAAGGCAATTAAAGGCAAGCAGTTATTTTACCGGAATTGAATTTCAAATTGGGAGAACACTGTTACCTCATGTTCATAAGCGTGACCCACTGATCCCATTGGCTTGCAAAGTAGTGTGGGTTGTTTTTTCATCATAAATTAATATCTAGCCCATGGTAGTTCTTTTTTTTACCTTCTTGGCTATCATGTTCACAATTTTTCTTTTGTATCTAGAATAAATGTAGACAATTGTTTTATCATTAATTAATTAATTAATTGGTGGGTCAGGCTGACCATCAGCCCGGATTACTTACCGGATAAAGAGACCACTGACGATGAGCGAGGTTCCAGAAAAAGACCCGCGGTTTGAGTTTCGTTGAGGTAGGAGCTTATACCATGGTTAAGGTGATTTTTGACTGGACTAATACTAGTGGACCAATGTGCACTGCATGGTTGTTGTAAAATCGGCCAAGAAAAATTGCCGTCGATGGGTTTATTTTCGATGGATTTGTGTATTTTTCATTGAATATTCAGCTTGAAAATATAGACTATCCTCCCCGTCACACAGAGAAACCCCATTATACAAAAATTGAGCACATTCCCGTCAGTTGTTTTGGAGGAGATACTAGTAAAAGTGAGATATAAATCAAATATAAACATTTTACAAATCACTTGCATATGTATAATTTTTCAATGAACATTTAAAATCTCCATACTCTAGATGTCATTTTTTGGGACTTCTAATATAAATTTCTTTATAATTAATTGCTATAAAAACAAAGATAATTACTTTAGAAAATCATAATAGCATCTTTGAAAGAAATATTTATTTTCTGTTCAGTTAAAACAAAAACCAATTCAGCCTCTGAGAATAGCAAGAAAAACTGGTAAATGAAATATCACTTAAGAAAACAGATTTGTGAAATTTATATTCATTACAGATTGAAAGTGGCTATAAAGGAGATGAGTCTCCAAAAATTAATGATGAAGACAGTAATGATGAAGATTATGTGTATGAGTCTGCACAATCTAGTGAGGATGAAGGTAATTTCTTCCATTGTATTTGTTGTTGATTACAATTCTTATTACCATAGCCATGTAGAACACCAATTGGGTCATAAAAGTTTGAGAAACCACCAATCTATCTACCAATTTCACCCTGGTTATTTCCAACACATGTGCTACTACAGGTAAGTCCTAAAATGAACCCCTTAAATGCGGTACTTCGATCCCTTTAGAGAAATATTTAGGATTGAGTCCCACAAGCTGCTGTTTGAATTTTTTTAACAAATATATAATAATAACAGTGTTTTTACATCTATATTAACAGATTCAGAAGATGTCCATTCAGAGCCTTTAACATCTGAATGTTTAGATTCCAATTCTCTTGATGACAGTGATGAGGAGAAGGCAGTTTCAATGACACCACATGAAATTTGGGTGAATAATTCATCTACAAAGCCTAGTGGTAAGCGTAAATGGGACAAATATGGATACTGTCTATTTTGTAATAAGAGAAATGCGAAGTCATTGTCAACGAAAACATAGAGATGAGGTGTTAGTAGCGGAAGCAATAGCAGTGTCAAAACTAGATCCGATAAGAGGCAAGGCTTTGTGGGCAGACATAAAAAATAAAGGAAACTTTAATCACAATCTTAGAGTGCATGAAGGAAAGGCAAATGATTTAATTGTGAGAAAAAGGCCTAAACTGGGATCTGAAAAGGATGTGAATAACTATGTTCCATGTGTAGATTGCCTTGGCTACTTTAACACAGCAACGCTCTATCTACATGCTAAGAACTGCCCCAAAAAACAGTCAACTTCTAAACAGGTAAAGCATGTTAAAAGAGCTCGAATGCTTTTACCGATAAACCACAAATCTGAAAAAATAAGAGCTATTGTAAATACCATGCGATGTGGTCAATTAACACTTGTTGTTAGAGGAGATAAGGACATACTAAAAGTTGGTGAAGATACAATAGAGTGTAATTCTTCTAGAAAAGGAGATCTTGTTAGAGAAAAAATGAGGACACTTGCAAAAGTACAAGCAAGATCAATTTGTAACAAAATTGTAGTTGCCCGTGATATGGTAAAACCTCAACATTTCGACACAGTTGTTCAAGCAGCCAGAAATGTATCGGGTTATGATGAAGGGCGCGGAGAACATCAAACCTACTCCTTAGCTTTAAAAATTGGATACTGTATTGCTGATCTTGCAGTAATAGTTCGCAATCAATTGATTAAGGAGCAGGATCATAAGAAGAAACAAGAGGTAGATGCCTTCATCCAATTACGAGACACAGAATGGAGAACAAAAATCACCGCAGCAGCATTAAAGCAACGACAGACGAAAAAATGGAAGACACCAGCTATCCTGCCATTAACAGAAGACTGTATGGCATTCAATCGATTTCTGAAACAAAGAGAAAAGGATGTGAAACTTCAGGGAAATTTGGTTGAACTTGCAAAGGTAACCCTTTGCCAAGTAATAATCTTCAACAGGAGGCAACCCACAGAAGTAGAAATGATAACTGTAGAGGACTACTTAGAGAAAGCAAACCAGGAAAAAAGCATCCATGACACAATATATGAATCACTGAGCACAACGGAACGAGTTTCACTAGACAGAATGACGGTTATACAAGTTCGTGGAAAGCGGGGCAGAGGAGTGCCTGTCCTTCTGAACAATGAAATGAGGGATAGTATGGACATGCTAGCAAAGCATAACCAGCTATCTAAAGGCCAACTCAGACAGCGTCGGCCGACGCAGCCCGACCCGATTTATCGTCGGGGACAGTCTTAAGCCGTCGTGAGAAATATTAAACATGTTTAATATTCTACTACGCGACTGCCCCCGACGCACACCATCGCGTCTGCGTTCAACTCACACAGACCCGACGCGAAAACAAATCGCGTCGGGCTGCGTCGGCCGACGCTGTCTGAGTTGGCCTTAAGAAGAAATATATATTTTCAAGAGCATCAGAAGATGCCACAACGCCACTTAGGGCATCAAAAGTGATGACTGAATTGGCCCAGCAATGCCCAAACCTGAAGCATCCAGAAAACCTAAGATGTACTAAGCTGAGGAAACAATTAGCCACGCTATCTCAAATACTAGGACTGAAAAATCATGAACTTGAACAATTGGCCAACCACATGGGTCATGATGTAAGGACTCATAGGGAGTACTACAGACTACTCGTGGAAACAGTTTTGCTAACCAAGATGAGTAAGCTCTTACACATAGCAGACTCTGGTAAAATGCATGAGTTTAAAGGCAAATCACTGGAGGATATTGATGTGGCACCAGATGAGGTAGTGCCATCTCTAGATGAAGATGATGATGAAGTAGATGATGATGAGGAGATTGATGAGCAAATAAGCGAAAAGGACAATGATTACGAAGTCAAGACACCAAAAGTCATTTCCAGAAAGAAGTCAACAGCATATAATAGATGGAGCACTGGAGGAGTCATTCCTAATTAGGTATCCAACAATGAAAGCATTTCTTCAGCAGAGAAGAGTCCCTGGTAAGCTGCAC